CTTCTGATCTTTACATTCATGTTAACATCCAACAAATCGGATATATAGCAAAATATGTTCTATATATATGTCGATCAAAGAAGATATGCTTGAAAGATCTCTTATATGTCGAGAACTGCTGAACTGATTTCAACAGTTCTCATTAATTCAGAATGGCCTCTTGGCAGGAAAGAAAAAACGTCTAAAAAAATCGCATAAAAATATCTCTCTAAAGATGAAAATATTGATTTTGTAAAATTTTCTCATATTTTTTTTCAATTTTGTCATATTTTTGGCATATTTTCATTTTGAATTAAACATTTGGTATTATTTCTACAGCTAACAAAACTAAGTAGTTAGGATATCAGGATATCATATACAGATCGCATTTATGGCCCGATCCTTACGAAATTTAACATGGGGATAAGATGAGGGTCAGAATAGATCTTTACTCTTTTTAGAGATGATCGCTATATATTTAGGGGTTGAAATGGACCAAAAAACTGCAACATTGTGAGCAGGTCATAATTATCGCCCGATCCTTACGCATATTTGAATGGGGGTTACCGGACATTGCAAAAGCCAAGCAGTTTCGGATGGCCATCCAAAAATATTCAATGTGTGAAAAAGTTTACCAACTTTTGTAGACAAAATACGAAAATGTTCATTCCAGTGACTTTTTGGAGAATTCACAAATGCAGGAAAGACGCACTTCTGACTATTTCGTAAACGCTGATTTCGTTGAAGAATATAATCAAATGACTTTATCTCATATAGATGCGTATCAGTCAAAAACCAATAATAAATGTTAATCTTTTGCCACTTCTGAGAGATTATAGGTCTTTGGGAAATATTGGTTCCAGATCTAGGAAAACCATTTACGTGCAACATCTACCAATAAATTGGAAATGAGCAAATTAGTTAAAGTTGCTATTATTCGAAAATTAGAGAACGAAACCTGATGGTTTTCTTTTAATATTTGTCATAATATTTTGTGGAATTCTTTCGAGTATCGCGCCTATATAAACTGTATCGTTTATTATAGTGTTGTAGGGTATTCAACGGTCGGCCCCGCTCGACTGTAGCCTTTGCTTACTTGTTATTATTATTATTACTATTATTATTATTATTATTTTTATTGTTATTATTATTATTATTATTATTATTATTATTATTATTATTATTATTATTATTATTATTATTATTATTATTATTATAATTATTATTATTATTATTATTATTTTATTGTTATTATTATTATTATTATATTATTATTATTATTATTATTATTATTATTATTATTATTATTATTATTATTATTATTATTATTATTATTATTATTATTATTATTTTATTGTTATTTTATTATTATTATTATTATTATTATTATTATTATTATTATTATTATTATTATTATTATTATTATTATTATTTTTATTGTTATTTTTATTATTATTATTATTATTATTATTATTATTATTATTATTATTATTATTATTATTATTATTATTATTATTATTATTATTATTATTATTATTATTATTATTATTATTATTATTACTATTATTATTATTTTTATTATAATTATTATTATTATTATTTTTTTTCAGGAAATTTGCTTAAGAGACTACTTCTCCCATTTTAAAAATTCTTCCTTATTTTTTCTCACGTCCCGTTTTTATTACCTTTTTTCCTCTGTCCCCTTGTCTGTCAAATCGCACTAAAATTTCCTGGAACTGTTTCCGCTTAACACCTATTAAGTACTATTATTGCCATTTTCTTCTTCCCTGCTTGGAAGCTGTCCATTCAAATCATATTATGGCTATTTGTTTGGACAACCGCCCCTCCCTCTCTCTCTCCCTTGCAGGATCATAATACATGTTGGCATTTTGGGTGCAGCCAAAGTTGTAAACAATATTGTTTGGCGATTCATTTATCTTCAGTTTTGTTGTGTGTCGATGGCATAAACAAGCATCAATTTTTTACGATTTTTCTCTCCCCCTCCCCCTCTCCCTTGACAAAAATTGCGGTTTGTTGAGGCAAAAGAGTTGTTTATTCAATTTTACTTGTCAGCAATTCTTTTTTTCGGAAAATAGGAAATATTTAGTTGAAATAATCAAATGGGTGGGGGGTTTCCGCCCGCCCATCTTCATTCGATTTTGATTTATTGTTTTGTAGAACATGATTTCTTTTGCTGCTCCATTTCATCAAGTTGTGTTTTTTGTTGTTGTATTTCTTGGTATTTTATTGACGCCAACAATTGATGTACTGCGGTACGTGGCAAGGACTAGTAAATGCCCAAGGACAAATTTGGTGTTTGCTGTCTGTGCTGGGGAGTCTTACGCATTTCGTGCTAATGTTTAAGTGATGGGGATTGTAGACCAAGTTCGCAAGGCAAATAAAATCCTCTTAAAAAGTGTTAAAAGCATTTGAAAATCTATTTTTAGACCGCAGAGTGTTTTAGGGAAATATTTAAATAACGAAAAATTGGGACACTCAAAATTTAAATTTTTGAAAAGAATGAATTACGAGAGATTTAGAAAATAAATGACCTTTTAATACACTATAGTTTTTAAAGCTCTAAAAAATGTATCAAAAGAGTGAAAAGGTATGTAAAATAAGTAAAAAATCTATAAGTTCGGGCGGGCCGAACTTTGAATACCCTCCACCATTTGGTACAAATTTGGCAACTTTCAAAAAAATAAAATCCGTTAAAAATTCTGTTAAAATCATAAGAACACTGAATATAGCCGTATATTAGGGTCTATACGACGACGTGGACCTGCATAGGCTACTTTTGTCACAAGCTATTAAAATATTCAAATGCGAAACTTGAAAAAAAATCTTTTTATAATGTAGATAAAATCATCAAAATACCGAATATAGGGAGGTACCATGGGGGTTATAAAGTGTGGACCTGCACCGACAATATTCTGGCATAGGTTATAGTATCCATTGCGAACTTCAAATACTAAATTTGAAATTGTTCCGGTAAATAATGTTGCTAAAATCATCAAAATACCGAATATCGGGGGTTCCGTTACATGGGGGCTATACGAAGACGTGGATCTGCACAGACAATCTCCTGTCATAGGCTGTAGTATTCATTACGAACTTCAAATGCCATGGTGATGGTGTGGGTGTAGGCCGTCATAACAGCCGATGCTCGCTCTCCGCTCGTATTAATCGACCGTGGCATCAGAAGAAATGCCGAATATTATCCCGAAAATATTCTGGAGGGTGTATTAAAGCCTTGGGCACGCAAACATTTTGCCCGCAGACCGGATATCTATCCGTTGGACTATTGTGCTGGAGCATTTGGGAAAGCAAGTTTGGCACTTAAAAAATATCAAAGTGTCGATCACCTCAAGCAAGCGCTTCGCCGGAAATGGGCCAAACTACCGCAGAGCAACATTCAAAATATATTCTTTAAAAATCCACGATTATGGCTCTGAATATCCTTCAAAATATATTTTTCACAAATCTACGATTTTGGTTCTGAATACCCTTTAAAATATATTTTTTACTAATCCGCGATTATGGCTTTGAATATCCTTCAAAATATATTTTTTACTAATCCACGATTATGGCTCTGAATATCCTTTAAAATATATTCTTTAAAAATCCACGATTATGGCTCTGAATATCCTTCAAAATATATTCTTTAAAAATCCACGATTATGGCTCTGAATATCCTTCAAAATATATTCTTTAAAAATCCTCTGAATATCCTTCAAAATATATTCTTTAAAAATCCACGATTATGGCTCTGAATATCCTTCAAAATATATTCTTTAAAAATCCACGATTATGGCTCTGAATATCCTTCAAAATATATTCTTTAAAAATCCACGATTATGGCTCTGAATATCCTTCAAAATATATTCTTTAAAAATTCACGATTATGGCTCTGAATATCCTTCAAAATATATTCTTTAAAAATCCACGATTATGGCTCTGAATATCCTTCAAAATATATTCTTTAAAAATCCACGATTATGGCTCTGAATATCCTTTAAAATATATTCTTTAAAAATCCACGATTATGGCTCTGAATATCCTTCAAAATATATTCTTTAAAAATCCACGATTATGGCTCTGAATATCCTTTAAAATATATTCTTTACAAATCCACGATTATGGCTCTGAATATCCTTCAAAATAAATTTTTTAAAAATCCACGATTATGGCTCTGAATATCCTTTAAAATATATTCTTTAAAAATCCACGATTATGGCTCTGAATATCCTTCAAAATAAATTTTTTAAAAATCCACGATTATGGCTCTGAATATCCTTTAAAATATATTCTTTAAAAATCCACGATTATGGCTCTGAATATCCTTCAAAATATATTCTTTAAAAATCCACGATTATGGCTCTGAATATCCTTCAAAATATATTCTTTAAAAATCCACGATTATGGCTCTGAATAGCCTTGGAAAAATATTCTTCAAAGATTCACGGTTATTGCTAACAAAATTCTACAAAAGAATATCCTCTAAAAGTCCACGATTATAGCAATGAACATTCTTGAAAGGATATTTTTAAAAAATCACAGCCATAGCTACATAAATCCTTAAAAATTTTTAATAAAACAGCTACATTTTTATTCACGAATATGATTCAGAAAAACAATCTACAATTTTTTGGTTATCGCTATGAATATCCGTCTTGAAACATTAATAAAAATCCGCGCTTAAAGCTATGAATATCCTTCAAATATTTTAGCTTAAAAAATCTACGATTATAGCTGTGAATGTCCTTCAAAAAAATTCTTTAGAAAATAACTGTTTTTATCCTTGATATCCTTCATTAAAAAATCACAATTATTGCTCCGAAAGTCCATAGAAAATATTTAAAAAAATCAATAAAAATATTATTTTCCAAACTTTCTTTGCAATTTTTTACAAAATTTGTTTTTATGGCAAAATTATTCATTGTTATTTAAACTTATTTCTCTGTCATTATCAAGCCATAATAACCGTTTTATTCTCTCGATTTTTCTCTTTCCATTTCCAGAGATTTGGGCAATAACAACATAACCAAACTGGAAGCAAATTCGTTTTTTATGGCCAACAATTTGGAAGAATTGTAAGTATTTCCGAAACATTTTCCAAGGCATCATCATCATCATCTTGAATGGCAATGGCATAGTTCTACTCAAGAGGAAATAAGGAGGCACAATCTCACAAGATTGTTCTGTTGAAGTTTTTGGGTCAGTTAATGTGAAGTGGAGCCCCTACCCAGAGAGATTGAGAAATGTCCAAAAGGAGGTTTGTACTTCATTTGGGAGGAGCGAATGAGATATGGGAGGAAACCATAAATTTGTGGAATTTTTCACACATCATTAACATAACGGGGAGATATCAAACAAAATAAGTAGGAAGAAGGTTGAAGGGCTAGGAAAAATTTCAATGATTTTTACAGATCCTTTATGGAAAATAAGGCCTTTAAAAGTCCTTTATACCTCAAAGAGGTTTCTTCTAAACAAAAAATGTCAAGAAACTTTTTTATAGACAGAATTAAAGTATTTTACAAAGACCTGTGAGAGGTTATTTGATGGCCTTCTATGGCCTGAAGACAATTTTCGGCATTTCTGTCCCTTGATGAATCCTTAAAAGTCATCTATGTGCAGAACACCCATTCATGTTCTTATATAGGGAGAATAACCATTCAAGGTTGTCTATATGAAAAATACCCTGCAGCAGAACCCTCAGTCTGGAGAAGACTTATCAAGGGGTGTTTGTACGGAGAATATCCGCTTATGATCTTCTATATTCTTTAGAGGCCCGCTGTAAGTAGAAGACCAAAAAAAGGGTCTTCTATGCGAAACGTAATCTTTTAAAGGACTCCTGCAGGAAGAAGAATCCTTAAAGCGACTTATATACAAAGGAGACCCCTCTAATGGTCTTCTTTATGACGAAAACTTCTCCAAAAGTTCTCTATAAGAAGAAGGTTCCTTTGATGATTTATTTCAGGGTTTTCTTTCGAAAAAAAGACCCCTCTGATGGTCGTCTTTTAAACGAAGAAAACCCTGTTGAGGTTCTTCTATGCCTTTGAGGACCACTCTGAGGATCTTTGATACGTAGAAAACCCTTTTGAGGGTCTTCTATACGAAGAAGACCCCTGTGAGGGTCTTCTATACGAAGAAGTCCCCTTTTAGGGCCTTCTATACGAAGTAGACCCCTGTGAGGATCTTCGACACGAAGAAGACCCCTATGAGGGTCTTCCACAGGAGGAAGATCCCTTTGATGGTCTTCCAGGAAGGAAGACCCATTTGAGGGTCTTCTATACGACAAAGACCCCTGTGAGGGTCTTCTATACGAAGAAGACCCCTATGAGGGTCTTCTATACGAACAAGACCCCTATGAGGGTCTTCTATAACCCTGTGATGGTCTTCCACAGGAGGAAGATCCCTTTGATTGTCTTCCACAGGAGGAAGACCCCTTTGATGGTCTTCCACAGGAGGAAGGCCCCTTTGAGGGTCTTCTATACGAAGAAGACCCTTGTGAGGGTCTCCTATACGATGAAGACCACTTTGTGGGTATCCTATGCGAAGAAGGCCCCCTGTGAGGGTCTTCTATACGAAGAAGACCTCTGTGAGGGTCTGTGAGGGTTTCTATACGACGAAGGCCCCTGTGAGGGTCTCCTATGCGATGAAGACCACGTTGAGGGTCGCCTATGCGAAGAAGACCCCTTGAAGGATCTTCTATACGAAAAAGACCCCATACAAAAAAGAACCATTTGAAGGTCTACTATACGAGGAAGACGCCTTTAAGGGGTTTCTAAGCGAGGAAGGATCTTCTATGCTTAGAAAACCCCTTTGAGGGTCTTCTATGGGAAAAATACCCCTTGTAAGGTCTCCTTTACGGGTAAGACTCTTGGAGTTTCTTCTTTTCGAAGAAAACCCCTTGGAGGGACTCCTTTACGAAGAAGACTCCTTGGAGGGTCTTCTATACGAAGAAGGCCCCATGAAGGATCCCCTTTGACGGTCTTCCATACGAAGAAGACCCCTTTGATACGAAGAAGACCTCTTTGAGGGTCTTCTATGCGAAGAAGGCCCCTGTGAAGGTCTCCTGTGCGATGAAGACCACTTTGAGGGTCTCCTATGCGAAGAAGACCCCTTGAAAGATCTTCTATACGAAAAAAGATCCCTTTGAGGTCTTCCATACGAAAAAGACTCCCATACAAAAAAGACCTATTTGAAGGTCTTCTATACGAAGAAGACGCCTTTGAGGGGTTTCTAACCTAGGAAGGCCCCTCTGAGGGTCTTCTATGCTTAGAAAACTCCTTTGAGGGTCTTCTATGGGAAGAATACCCCTTGTAGGGTCTCCTTTACGGATAAGACTCTTGGATATTCTTCTTTTCGAAGAAAAACCTTTGGAGGAACTCCCTTACGAAGAAGACTCCTTGGAGGGTCTTCTATACGAAGAAGGCCCCATGAAGGATCCCCTTTGACGGTCTTCCATACGAAGAAGACCCCTTTGATACGAAGAAGACCTCTTTGAGGGTTTTCTATGCGAAGAATACCTATTTGAGGATCTTCTATGCGAAGAAGACCCATCTGAGGGTCTTCCATGCGAAGAAGACCTCTTTGAGTGGCTTATATGCGAAGAATACCACTTGAAGGATATTCTATACGAAAAAGACCCCCATACTAAGAAGACCCATTTGAAGGTCTTCTATATGAAGAAGAAACCTTTGAGGGATTTCTAAGCGAAGAAGACCCCTCTGAGGGTCTTCTATGATTAGAAAACCCCTTCGAGGGTCTTCTCCTTTACGGAGAAGACTCTTGGAGGTTCTCCTTCTCGAAGAAAAACCCTTGGAGGGATCCTTTTACCAAGAAGACCCTTTGGAGGATCTTTTATACGAAAAAGGTCCCATGAAGGACCCCCTTTGAGGGTATTCGATGCGAAGAAGACCCCTTTGATAAAAAGAAGATCCCTTTGATACAAAGAAGACCCATTTGAGGATCATCTATGCAAAGGACCTCTTTGAGGGTCTTCTTTGTGAAGAAGACAACATTGAGGGTTTCTATACGAAAAGTTCCCGTACTTTTAGGGTAAAACCTAAAATGCTGATAAAACCAATTTTAGGGTCTTGTTTTGAATTTAAATGGGGCAGAAGTCGTTTCAAAGCATTTAACTTCTTGCCTCCTGAAGAATCCGCTGTACTTCATTATTACCCAGTACTAATGCTTACAGTGTCAACAGTTTTTGTCTGAAGGAAGCTAGTGACAACCGTACACACTTCAGCCGGCACTAGGACAATGCCGAGTTCGTCACCCTAGGCGTCAAAATGAGAAAGTGTTACAGCACTCGCCCTGTTGACACCATCCCCCTACAAACACCCTATCAAACACTACTACTCCCACTAACACCAGCTTTCAACACGCACACACACACAAAAACAGCCAAGACAAATCATTATTCACTTCAAATTTTACTCTCTCTCCCGCCCCACCACCAACAAAAAAGAGCACAGCAGGAATGAACAATGATGTGGTGGTTTATGACAGGGTTTAATCTGTGGCAGTTGTCGTGGGGAGGTCCATGGCATAACTCAAAGATGGGAGAAAAAAAAGTTGGAACCAAATTTGTGGTTTGATGCCACACTTTTTGCCACTTCTCAGTGGCTTCTCAGTAGTTGAGAGTTGCTGTCGCTCACAAGCACACACACTCGCACACACACATCCTCATAAAAATTAATTGAAAATTTCAGTTTTTATAAATAACTTTATTACGCTTTTGTTTGTTGCCATCATTAATTATTCGCCGTTAAGAGTGTTAAGTATAAAAATGCCAAGTAATTTGTTTGTGCTCTGCATTTTTTTGGTGTTGATGCTTTCGGGAAATTATTCAAGTTTTTATCATCCGCTCTTCACTCTTGATTTCACAATTTTTGTTCTGCTTCTTCTTTGTTTTTTGTTCTTCTAGGACATTGGCGGATAATAATCTGGAAGTCTTGGATCCTTTGGCATTTTATGGTTTGTCAAAGTTGAAACGTTTAAATCTACAAAACTGTGGCCTTAAAACATTGCCCGCATTCGCATTTCAAGGTTTAACTAATTTGGTGTCCTTGTAAGTATTGGTTGTGGGAGGTTAAGTTGGGGGAGACATTTTAAGAATTGTTAGTTATTAAGTATTTGATGATATAATCAGATTAAAAATTTGAAAAATAAATAAGTGTGGCTACTTTTGGGCAGAAAAATCAGGTCCTGGTCATACATAGTATAGAGGGGCATATTAGGTTCGTCATTGATCAGAATAAAATTCTAAGAATATTTAGCCCTGTCCGTCCGTCTGTCCGTCAAAACGAACGAAGATAGGAAGCTAAAATTCTGCATGCAGTTCAAGTTCGATGATAGGCTTTATCGGCCAACTTTTTCGGATAGCCCCCATATAACGACACCCCTCATTTTAAGCATTTCGACGTCTTTCCGTGCATTTTTTCAACGGAATTGTGCGGAATTTGGTATTTGAAGGTTGTTAACCATCTTGCAAAAACAGTTAATATAAGTCCACATTATGGTATGTCTCCCACATAAGGGTATTCGATGTTCTGAATGCTTTCCCCTACTTTTTCAGTCGAATTGTCTGCAATTTTGTATTTGAAGTTTATAATGGGCGTTTAACTGCCTTTCAAAAAATCTGTTGATATAGGTCCTCAAATTGACTTTGTACATGTCATGGTGGATGGTATCAAAAGTTCGACTCGGTCGAACTTACTACTTTTTTACTTGTTTATGTGGAGAATTTTTGGAGGAATATTTGTATTGTGGTCCTATACGACGACACAGAAATTTTTGAGTTTTGCGAACTGTGGCTGCACTATTTTCTCTATTTTATAAATCGGAAAAATCGTCCCTAATCAAAATAATGGGTTTAGACCCCAGGGTTTTGACCCCAGGTCTCATTTTACTTGAACATTTGGAGTTAATGTAGCCATGTCCGTCCTTCTGCCTGTCATGTACATCAACTCCACTTTTACGTGGATCAAGTTCGAGCATGGGCAATATCGGTTCACTACTTCTTATAGCCCAATTTTCTTATTCAAAATTTTGAAAAAAAAAAAACAGTAATAAAATGTCAAATATCGGGCGGGGCCGACTATATGATCTGGTACCAAATACCATTGTTGTGGAGTGCATATTACGAATGTGAGGGAGTTAAAAGCAAACTCGGACGGAACATGTATGTGGAAGATATGGCAATATCAGAACCAATTTTCACCAAACTTGAAACACTTGATTCTAGGCTAAAGTCGATTGGAAGTGCCAAAATTCACTCCATTTGGGCTGATATAAGAAATTTGGTGTAGAATAAACCTGAAATCAGGCTGAGATAAAAAAGCTGCAAAAAAGTTAAATGCCATAATTTTTACGTTTTTTTTTTCTAAATTTTATTGAATGAAAGCCAAAAATGTCGGAAATAGCATCAAATTTTAAAATAAGTTTAGATTTGTTCGAATTGGTCACCTTTGGCACGAATTAAGGCCTTCAAAGGGCCAATTAAACCGTCACACGCTGCCTGAATGATGCTCTGCGGTATTTTGGTCCATTTCCGGCGAAGCGCTTGCTTGAGGTGATCGACACTTTGATATTTTTAGTGCCAACCTTGCTTTCCAAAATACTCCAGACACAATAGTCCAACGGATTGGTATCCGCAGGTTTTGGTGGCCATTGTGCGCTGGAACCTCATTTTGTAACCTTTGCGAGGATCCTCTTTTTGTAACCATTCTTGTGTGGCGCGTGCTGAGTGCGATAATGCTGAGTCCTTTTGGAATGTCCAAGGTCTGCGGCCAAAATGTTTGCGTGCCCAAGGCTTTAATACACCCTTCAGAATGTTTTCGCTATAATATTCGGCATTTATTCTGATGCCACGGTCAATTAATACGAGCGGAGAGCGATCATCGGTTGTTATGGCCGCCCACACCATCACCATGTCCGGCGCTTGAGTTCTGGTGGCCAAGCGAAGGTGCACATTTTCAGCTGACCTCTTTGACAAGTAATGATCGTTTTCATTTTGTTTTTTTTCAAACTGCCGGACAACGAATGTCTCTCATCGGAGAGAGAGAAAACCAAATTCGGCAGTTCACCGCTTTCTGTCAAGTGATGCAACTCTTTAGCTCTTTTGAGTTTTTATACCCTACACCACAAGGTGGTCTGGGTATTACGTCTTTGTGCATTTGTTTGTAACATGGAGAAGGAAGCGAGATAGACTCATAGTTACTTTTGTGGAACGAAGAGGGCGTAGGTAAAACCACCAAAATCCTGTGGGGTGACCCAAATGAGATAAAAACGAAGAATCTTTTATTGCTAAGCAAGAAGGAGACCAGTGAGGTGACAGGCATCCTTACGGGGCACCAGGGCCTACAAGCTCATCTATACAAGATAGGTTGCACAGATAACAGCATATGCAGGGCGTGCAGGGAAGACGACGAAACTTTGGAACATTTTCTCTGTATACGCCCAGCGTTTGCTAATATCAGAGCCCAATTCTTTGGGAGCGACACTATACCAGACCTTAGTCGGATCATGGTAAATGATATAAAACAGTTAAGGAATTTCATAAAGGCAACAGAATTTAAATTATAACAGACTGTTTAACTGCACGTCTTCCTCGGTAAAACCCCTCTGACTAGAGCGCACAACAGGCCTATACTGGCTTAAGTGCATGCCCAAAAGGGCTTGAGGCGAAATTGTTTTTGCCCCTCTCTTTCAACCTAACCTAACCTAACCTACTTTTGAGGATCTCCATAAGTCACTTTCTGAGTTGATTTATGCATGTCAGTTCGTCTGTCCGTCCGCCCGGCCGTCTGTCCGTGTATTCTTGTGAACAAAATGCAGGTCGCATTTATTACCGATTGAGATGAAATTTTGCACACATCATTTGTTTGGCCCAAGGACGACCCCTATTGAAATTGTAGATAATCGGTCAAAATTTAGATATAGCTCCCATATATATCTTCGTCCGATTTGGCTTTTATTGTGCACCAAAAATGTAATATCAGACCGAATAGTATGGAATTTTGCACGTGCAACCAAATTAGGCCTGAAAATAAGTATGCCAAATTTGATCAAAATCGGTTCAGATATAGCCATAGCTCCCATATATATTGTTCATCCGATTTGTTATTTTTGTCCTCCGCAGCCGTAATAGGCACTCTGTAACAACAATATTTGGGAAAATATATTAACTGCAGCTCAGAAATATCTTTGCCAAATTTTATCGAGATCGGTTCAGATTTGGATATAGCTCTCATATATAACTTCGTCCGATTTAATTTTGATTGAGCACCAAACGTCTAATATTTGTCCAAATAGGATGAAATTTGGCACATACGACCGAATTAAGTCTAGAAGCTAGTATGTCAAATTTGGTAATGATCGGTTCCGATATAGCTATAGCTCTCATATATATTGGTTATCCGATTTGTTATTTTTGTCCTCCGCAGCCGTAATATGCACTCTGTAACAACAATATTTGGGGAAACATATCAAATACAGCTCAGAAATACATTTGCTAAATTGTATCGAAATCGTTTCAGATTTGGATATAGTTCCCATATAGAACTTCATCCGATTTACTTTTTATTGTGCACCAAACGTCTAATATTTGTCCAAATGGGATAAAATTTGGTACTTACGACCAAATTGAGTCTAGAAGCTGGTATGTCAAATTTGGTGATGATCGGTTCCGATATAGCTATAGCTCTCATATATAACTTCGTCCGATTTAACTTTGATTGTGCAACAAACGTCTAATATTTGCCCAAATGGGATGAAATTTGGGACTTACGACCGAATTAAATCTAGAAGCTGGTATGTCAAATTTGGTGAAGATCGGTTCAGATGTAGCTATAGCTCCCATATATATTGTTCTTCCGATTTGTTATATTTGTTAATATGCACTCCGTAACAACGATATTCAGGGAAATATATCAAATACAGCTCAGAAATATCTTTGCCACATTTTATCGAGATCGGTTCAGATTTGGATATAGCTCCCGATTTCAAATAATTGTGCACCAAATGGGCGATACAAGTCCGAATTTAAAAGATACAAATGCTTCGGTATATTTAGTCCTTTGAACTTAAAATTATAATTATAATCATAGGGTGTATGATTGAATTCACCCATAAAAACTTTTAATTGTTATGCGAAGCTGTACTAAATTAGCAAAGTGGTGTAGGGTATCATAAAGTCGGCCCCGTCCGACTTTAAGACTTTTTTTTACTGGTTTTAATTGTTTTAATGTTAAACAATGTTAATGGTAATTTATGTGTTTCTAGTCTAGTTAATGAAACGCCTGAAAGTATGCCACATATTTTTACTTCCATTATTAAGAACTATTTGATTTGGATAGGAAAATGATAGTTCTATTCCCATATTTAACCTATATTTATTAATATATTATATTGAACTTTTATAAATATTATTTACTTTTATCAAATATTCATATATATTTTTTTCATTTGTCTTTTTGTCCCACACACACACACACACCCATACAAAAACACACATCACAAAAAATTGGTATTGCAATTGAAATGCGTGCCTTTTCTGTTTGACAACGTTTATATTGCCTTTCCTTTCCCGTTTTTATTACACAAATGACAAAAAACAATCAAATCGAATAAAAAACCCATATAAATGGAAAAAAACTAAAAAATAAATGATTTAATTTATTTATTCCAATTTATTCGAACGAAAAAAAAAAAAATACAAAAAACAATTGGCTTTTATCACAAACCAAAAATACACATTTTCCCATTGTACACTGTCCTTACAATGACAATCACCACCGCCACCACCATCTCATTTCCTGTATCCTGGAACAAAAAAATGCTATTATCCTCCTCTTCAATCAAATGAAAGGCAATTAAATGGTAACGCCTTAGCAAGCATGGATCGCAACAGCCTGCAGCATTTGCCAAAATTACGCACCCTACGACTCGAAGGCAATTTATTCTATCGGATACCCACTGATGCTTTGGCTGGATTAAAGACACTCGAAGCACTGTGAGCCAATCATGAAAAAAAAAAAATATATATTGAGCATAAAATCTTATTGTTTGTTAAAAGATAATCAGAAAATATATATAACACTATTAACATAAATATGTGTTGCATTTACATATCATACAGGGTATCCCAAAAAATGATGGATAAATTTAATTTTTTTTTAAAATATCTACTCAAATTTAAAATTCATTGAAACACATTGGCTTACAAACCCATATTTTCTTCCTGGTATTAATTTGGAATTTAAAATTTTCAAATTTTATCCATTTAATTGGGGATACCTTCCCTTCACCATATTATCCTTTTAATGTAAAATAACCATAACTGCACTAAATGATCCTTATACCGTTGGTGTGCTTGCATGCTGAACATAAAATCAAACGATTTTTTTTTTTCAAAACCAAACAAATTAGGAAACCAAAAATTCATATAAAAAGCCACCGAAATAATGATAGGTCGATTGGTTAAAAATCTTACCATATGAAATTGGCTAAAAAACTCTCGATGTGCTCGTTTGAATGTTTGTTCAAAAACCATTTTCAAAATAACTGTACTAATGGCTAAAGCTTTATTTGTTTCAAATAAATTTTTTCATAAAATGAGGTCTTCTTTACTAGAAGACCACTAGAGGTCTTCTTCTATACTAGAAGACCACTAGGGGTCTTCTTCTATACTCGAAGACCACTAGAGGTCTTCTTCTATACTAGAAGACCACTAGAGGTCTTCTTCTATACTAGACGACCACAAGAGGTCTTCTTCTATGCTAGACGACCACTAGAGGTCTTCTTCTATACTAGAAGACCACTAGAGGTCTAGTGGAAGACCACTAGAGGTCTTCTTCTATACTAGAAGACCACTAGAGGTCTAGTGGAAGACCACTAGAGGTCTTCTTCTATACTAGAAGACCACTAGAGGTCTTCTTCTATACTCGAAGACCACTAGAGGTCTTCTTCTATACTCGAAGACCACTAGAGGTCTTCTTCTATACTCGAAGACCACTAGAGGTCTTCTTCTATACTCGAAGACCACTAGGGGTCTTCTTCTATACCAGAAGACCACTAGAGGTCTTCTTCTATACCAGAAGACCACTAGAGATCTTCTTCTATACTAGAAGACCACTAGAGGTCTTCTTCTATACTAGAAGACCACTAGAGGTCTTCTTCTATACTAGAAGACCACTAGAGGTCTTCTTCTATACTAGAAGACCACTAGAGGTCTTCTTCTATACTAGAAGACCACCAGAGGTCTTTTTCTATACTAGAAGACCACCAGAGGTCTTCTTCTATACTAGAAGACCACCAGAGGTCTTCTTCTATACTAGAAGACCACCAGAGGTCTTCTTCTATACTAGAAGACCACCAGAGGTCTTCTTCTATACTAGAAGACCACTAGAGGTCTTCTTCTATACTAGAAGACCACTAGAGGTCTTCTTCTATACTAGAAGACCACTAGAGGTCTTCTTCTATACTAGAAGACCGCATGGGGTCTTCTATAGTAGAAGAACACATTAGGTCTTCCATAGTAGAAGACCACATGAGGTCTTCCATAGCAGAAGGCCACATGAGTTCTTCTATACTGGAAGACCACTAGAGGTCCTCTTCTATAGTAGAAGACCGCTTGAGGTCTTCTTCTATACTAGAAGACCACTAGAGGTCTTCTTCTATGCTAGAAGACCACTTGAGGTCTTCTATACTAGGAGACCACTAGAGGTTTTCTCCTATACTAGAAGACCACTAGAGGTCTTCTTCTATACTAGATGACCACTAGAGGTCTTCTTCTATACTGGAAGACCACTATAGGTCTTCTTCTATACTAGAAGACCATAAGTTTTTTAAGATTTGGTCTTGGTCTCTATTGGTCTTCTCTAGTCTAGCAGAAGACCTATTGGTCTTCTCTGGTACAGCAGAAGACCTATTGGTCTTCTCTGGTACAGCAGAAGACCTATTGGTCTTCTCTGGTACAGCAGAAGACCAATGGGTCTTCTCTAGTGCAGCAGAAGACCAATGGGTCTTCTCTAGTACAGCAGAAGACCAATGGGTCTTCTCTAGTACAGCAGAAGACCAATGGGTCTTCTCTAGTACAGCAGAAGACCAATGGGTCTTCTCTAGTACAGCAGAAGACCAATGGGTCTTCTCTAGTACAGCAGAAGACCAATGGGTCTTCTCTAGTACAGCAGAAGACCATGTGGTCTTCTCTAGTCTAGCAGAAGACCATGTGGTCTTCTCTAGTCTAGCAGAAGACCATGTGGTCTTCTCTAGTCTAGCAGAAGACCATGTGGTCTTCTCTAGTCTAGCAGAAGACCATGTGGTCTTCTCTAGTCTAGCAGAAGACCTATTGGTCTTCTCTAGTCTAGCAGAAGACCTATTGGTCTTCGCTAGTCTGCCAGAAGACCTATTGGTCTTCTCTAGTCTAGCAGAAGACCTATTGGTCTTCTCTAGTATAGCAGAAGACCTATTGCCACCAGAAAATCTATTGGTGTTCTCTAGTCTAGCAGAAGAGCTATTGGTCTTCTCTAGTACAGCAGAAGATCTATTGGTCTTCTTATAGTACTAACAATTGTATTCAAAATTCCCTTAGATCAAATTGTACATCATTGTTGTATGTATGTGTGTTTGTCTCTGTAAATAACTCCCAGACATGTGTATCATTAAAAATAACACAATAACAAATTTATGGTTTTTATAAAATTTTTTATATTTTTTTAACAAAATTTTTTCAAGTATTTAGATGATTGTCCCTCCAGTTAGTGGTGGTTCCATGGAGGTCTAAATTTTAATTATTTAAGAAAATATGCTGAGAAAAATGTTCAGCCTTTCTTGTCCTTTGAGAAAATTGTAAGCTCAAACAAAGGGTTTATGTCAACTTCCGTACCCTAGAACTTGGAAAAATTATAGGTTTTTGCCACAAAAATTAATCCATGGAACCCCTCACTAATGGAGGCTTTTTTATGAATTTTTTTTTTAATATTTTTTTTTTTAATTTCAATTTTTGATACAGAAACCTTGGCAGCAATCTATTGACAATAATCAATGATGAGGATTTTCCAAAAATGTCAAATTTAGTGGTACTGTAAGTAGAAATTACCTACGTTTTCACATCTCCCATAAAAGGGCGAGGAATGAATGATGAAAAAAATTATTTGAAATAAATCCATAAAATATTAATGAAAATAATTTCTAAACCGAATTTTTCCCACCTTAACATATTTTCCTTAATTCTTTGTAATTTAATTAAATTCCAACAAAAGTTGGCTTATAAATTTTCGTTCCTTGTCCTAAATATTGCCACCTTTTTCTCCCCCCACCCATTCCTCCTTTGATGTTAATCATTTCCCTTTTAAAATTTAAAAAAAAAAAATGTTCTCAAAAATATGCTCTGCTTTTCCTTTTTTTTGCTTTCGTTACAGTCTACTGAAACGTAATCAAATCATGAAAATCTCGGCTGGCGCCTTTGCAAATTTAACAGCTTTGGAAATTCTGTAAGTCTTTTGGCCCATGGCCTTGCTTTTTTTTTTCTTTAGCTTTTACAAATGTTCAAATGCTATTTGTATCTCAATATTGTATTTATGAAACTTCCCCTCTCCCTATCGTCCTTTTGTGTAAAGGTGTAAAGTATTTAGTTACAAAACAAATTTCCTCACAAGAATAGAAGAGGGAGAGGGAAGCACGAGGAGAATTGTTTGCAAAGAAATATATGGTAAAATATGTAAAGACCAGCAAAAGTTATAAAAAATATTTTCTTCTACCATTTTTCGTTATGAATTGCATATCTATGCTAGCTGGTAACAAGTGAAACTGAAATTTATGGTTTGCTGGAAAGCGATAAAAAGAAGCAGAGGTAGAGCGTTGGCTGTAAAGAAGAAATATTTTGTTTTGCATGGGATACTGGAAAATAAGAGTTGAAGGGCACACAAAAAGTACTAAAAGGTACAAAATGTTCAGATTTGTTATTTAGCGATTGGTAAGATTTAGAAGTGTACAAATTTGTACGAAGGTCACTATTTGGTGAGTGTGGGAGAATTTTTGAAAATTCGCCCTTTAAGGATACCTTGTAGTACCGAATGGTACGGCATTGTCATTGATACAATTATTGAAACCTATAAAAAGGCATTTTTCCTAAGGATCAGAGGGGTTATATAAACCGATGTTTTATATGGATATTCCTATCTAGACGAGGTGAGTCGATCTAGCTGTGTGTGTCCGTGCGTCCATTTATGACCCGATCCTCACGATATTTTGCATTGAGTAAAGGTCAGGTGCTTGTGGAAAGAACCGAAAAATATTGGACCAAAATGTACCAAAAATAAAAATTGAGAAATTTTCTGAGTTTACCCTCTTTAATTTTTATATTTATTTATTATTTATCTATACGGTATTTCTCCAGAAGCCAAGCATTTTAGACGGCTACCGAATAATAATTAGGGATGTCCGTCCGTCTGTCTGTCTGGCTGGCTAGTGCGCACGATAACTCTCGATCCGATTTATTCCAAACTTGGTACATCATAATATTATTATCAAACCTATATTGAGTTCGAAGATGCGCAACGTCGGCCTACACCTTCCGCTACCACCCCCACAACGGGTCAAAATTTTGAATAATTATATCTCTCATAAAATGTAAAATAAGCATCCGACTCTCTAAAAATTTCACACATCTTAAAATTTCTATTGATCTGGTGGGGAGATGAGATATATCGATCTTCTCCTTCTGGTACCTTCCGCACAAAGGGATCAAATTTTTAATAACAAAACGCCCTAAAAGTGCGAAAAAAAACATCCAATTCTCTCACATCCCAATATTTCCCATAAGATATGTGAAGATGATAGATATCGGCCTACCTCTTGTGGTACCTCCCCTACAAACGATAACAATCTTTAAATCTCTCATAACTTACAAAACAAATCAGAGATTTCATTCAAACCTGGCATATCTTAATATTTCCCTCAACAAGAAATCTGATGTGAATGATTATTTCTGCGCAATCCCTCCGATACCTCTTCCCCCAAAAAAGTTCGCATAAAATAGAAAATTAATGTTCGATTTTCTTTATATTTTGCAGGTCCCAAATTTTTTTTATTAGTATTAGATGAAGTGGAATACCTCGATCCACTATATCTCGCACCTCACGCACATTTCGGCCTTCGCACCTCGAACACATGTCTTACATCAAGTGATAATATTTATATCATACAGTTGAATAATATTGGCCAACTTCTTCGGACCACCCCCGTAAGGGCTCAACATGATGAATAATAAATACGGATGCCAAAATATATTTCAATAAATTACTTACTTGTTCATTTCTTTTTTTTTTTTTTTTTTGAATTTCCCAGGATTCTCATAAGCACTTTTTAACAGAATGTTAAATTTTTTCTAAGCGCGAATTTTTAAAAAATATACTTTTTTTAAATTAAAAAAACCTAAAAAAATTGGGTTTTCAATGATTTTTTTCTTTAACTTTGCAAGGATTCTCGCAACAATAAACATGAATTTTTAATTTTTTTTCCATATTTTTTACTTTCCTTTTTGCGGCTTTTTAAATTCCAATGTGGGTACTTCTATTTTTGCTATAAAATTTTTGCTATAACCCAAATTTTGTTGTTGCAAAATGGTCTGGCTTTATCCCTTTATTGTTGTTTTTATAAAAACAACGTTTGTTTATTAGTTGAGAACGATGGTAATGTTTACCAGGGGGTAAGGCAGGGAATACCTAGGTTTCGGAAAGAGCCACCAATCCTCATCAGTTCCCTTGTTTTTGTCTGGGATATTCTCCCCAGAAGTTATTTTAAAAATAACTTCTATGACAAAAAACATTTTTTTACCCAAGTGACGAGATCGTAAGCTCAATAGAAGAGGAACCAAAGAATTAAATAAAACTAAAATTCTCTTGGAAAGTCTTCTAAATCTTACAACCGCACTTATAAACATTTACATCTTTCTCCACTTGTTATGCTTTCGTTCAGCCTGAACGAAGTAGCATAACCATGTAAGTTGGTTTTGTCTGTTACAACACCATCGTTCTCCACTAATAAACAAACGTTGTTTTTATAAAAACAACAATAAAGGGATAAAGCCAGACCATTTTGCAACAACAAAATACTACGGTATCCAGAACAAACAAGCCACACTGTTCTATAACCCAAATTGTTAAAAAAAAAACTAACAGGCCCAAACTATTTCAACGTCTCCATATGTGAACCCTAAAACCCATCTGTGACCTCAATATCAAATTTCAGAATTTCAGCTCAATACCTTTAAGTAATACCAAATTTAGTAAAATTTAGTACACATATTCAAAACAATCTACATCTCTGCACTCTAGACACCAACAGTTATAAAAAAATTAGCAATAATTTAAATTTTGTACCATTTAGTACTTTTCGTACAAATATAGTACACATTTCCAAACCCACCTCCATATCTCAATTCCAGAGACGACCATATCAAATTTGAAGATTTCAGCCCTATTTAGTAAATTTAGTACAATTTAGTACTTCTCGTACAAATATGGGATGCGTTTCAAAAACCACCTCCATATCTTAACCACAGACACTAATATAGACATCTTTATCAAATTTCTGGATATAAATGTTATTTCTTCACTCAATATCAAATTTAGTACCTTTCGTTAATTATAGTACACATCTCCAAACACACCTCCATATCTCGTTTCTTACCAACAGAGACATCCAAATCAAATTTGAAAATTCCAGCCCTATCCCTTCACCCAATATCAAATTAAGTACTATTATCACCATCAGTAATCTAAAAATCAGAATTGTATCTCTTTTCCTTTATCCAATGCCCTTCAAAATATGGATTTTAAGCAAAAAGTTCGCCGAACCATAATGTACCAAATATAGTACTACTTAGTACTTTTTGTGCACTTAAAGTAAACATTTTCAAAAACCCCTCCTTATGAAAAACCTACTACCAACAGGGGCCCCAAAATAAAATTTCAGCTTCATCCGTTCACTCATAACCAAATTATTCCAAATTTCCTACCATTTAGTACAGTTCGCACACTTAGTACACACTTCCAAATATCAGCTCTATGTGTTTACCTAATAGTAAATTGTACCATTTTAAAAGCTTAGTACCATTTTAGAACTTTTCGTAATCTTAAAGTTCGAATTTCCAAAAACTCTTTGGTATATCTTTTCTACACTCCAATAGTGACTCTTTTTTCACAGTTCAGAATGCCAGCTAGTTTGGCTCACCAAAATTACAATTCTTACCAAATTTAGTACCATTTAGTATACATAAGTACGAACAAAACAAACTGCATCATACAGCACAATAGAAATCTAATTTCCAAAATTCTGTTGGTTCTCCCAAAATGTAAATTGTAATAAATTTAGTACTATTTAGTACGCATAAGTAGGAATTTTCAAAACTTCCTACATACCCCAATCCTACATTGCAATAGTAATTTTATTTCTAAATTTAGAATTCCAGCTCTATCGGTTCACCCAAATCGAAATTTTACCAAATTCGGTTCAATTTAGTACTTTTCGTACGCATAAGCACAAATTTGGAAAACTTCTTCTAAATCACAATCCTACACCCCGCCAGTAATGTTAATTTAAAATTTCAGGATTCTAGCTCCATCCGTTGCTTCTAATTCAAATTGTACGAAATTTAGTACGGTTTTGTACTTTTCGTGTACATGAGTACACACTTCCAAAACCGCCTCCTTACATCTTACTCTACTCCTCAACCTTAATTTCTATTCCAAATTTCAAGTTTTTGGCTCTAACCCTTCACATGATACGAAATGGTACCAAATGTAGTACATTTTAGTACTTTTCGTACACTCATGTTGTGAATTTTCAAAAACCTCTTTGGTACATCTATCATACACTCCATTAGTGACCCTTATTCCTAATTTTAGAATTCTAGATATACTGGTTCACAACAATTCCAATGTCTTCCTCTTTTAGTGACATTTAATAAAAATGAGTACACATTTCCATAGTAACCTGCATCATACAGTCCAATAGTAATCTTATTTCCCAATTTTAGGATTCCAGCCCTATCGGTTCACCCAAATTCAAATTGTACAAATTTAGTATCATTTAGTTCACATAATTACATAATTTTATAAGATTCCTACATACTCCAATCCTATACACCCACTGTAATCTCAATGCCAAATTGCAGGATTTTACCCCTATCGGTTCACCCATATAAATATCGTACCAAATTTAGTATCATATCATACCACATACTCCAAGTCTATGCTCCCACAATAAGCCCAATTACAACTTTAAGGATTCCAGCTCTATTGGTTACCCTAAATCCAAATTGTACCGAATTTAGTACATAAAAGTACAAATTTCCAAAATGACCTCTATATCTCAATCTTACACTCCTATAGTAACCTTACTTCCAAATTTCAGGATAAAAGCTCTATTGGTTACCAAAATCTTAATTTTACCGCATTTGGTACCATTTAGTGCACTTAGTACAAATTTT